CCTTTGTCCCCAAGCCCGAGATCCTGTGAACTGTGGGTGCTGTAGCCTTTTCAGGGTGTGCCATGGGACGGAGCAGCTCTCCCCGGTTCAAGGTTGTCCTGAAGACCTCTGCAGAGCACATCGCACTGTGTGCTCGCACACGCGCCTTCTAGAAGCATCTCTCATTGCCAATCTCTGAAAAAAGGAATTGGCCTTTGAATAGAACAGTTTTCCAAGAAAGAGCAAGGTGCTTTGAGAAGAACTACAGACGGAGATGGCCAGCTCCCGCCTGGGACTGGACGAGTGGCTTTGCTTTGTACTGCAGCATCCTGGTGCACGCTGGGGAGCCAAAGCGTAAACTTTTTATAAGTTTGTCGCGGAACTAATTGAGCAGCCCCACCCCCAGAACTGGGAACGATTTGACTTTCTCTGTCTGCAACTTCACTGCTCTTAACATCAGACGGCGCGGCTGGGACGAAAGCCGCGTTAGTCAGTGTGACCACTCATTTGCCCACACGGGTGTGAACCCTCTTCTCCACTGCCCCCGGGGGGGTGCTCGTGCCGGGAGGTGGCACAATTTATCTGACGTCGGTGTACTGCATGCATTTTCAATATTAACTTCTTTATAGAAATCAGCCCAAGTAAGCTGACTGCTGTCCACAATGGCCATTGTCGTATGAGCCTTTTCTGGGGGGTTAACTGGCCAAAATTTACGAGCCAGAGTGACCTGTCTGTCTCAGTGAGTGTCCGTCTCGGTGAGCGTCCGTCTCAATGAGTGTCCGTCTCGGTGAGCATCCGTCTCAGTGAGCATTCATCTCGGTCAGTGTCCGTCTTGGTGAGTGTCCGTCTCAGTGAGTGTCTGCCTCGGTCAGTATCCGTCTCGATGAGCGTCCGTCTAGGTCAGTGTCCGTCTCGGTGAGTGTCCGTCTCGGTGAGTGATGGCAGTGTCTTCACTCGGCCACTAGGAATCGCTGCTCGGTCCTGTCCCCCCGCAGAGTGCTCTCTGGGGCTCGCGCCTCCCGCCTCTCCAGTCTGTCTGTGATGTAGGTGGCAGGGCCCCCATCCATGCCGAGCGAGCTCCGCTAACAGGGCCCTCCCTGTTTTCCAGGAAATCCTCGGAGGAACTGGACATGGACAAGGTGACAGCAGCGATGGTACTCACCAGCCTGTCCACAAGCCCTTTGGTTCGAAGCCCTCCTGTGCGGCCGAATGGTGAGCTGGGGTGAGGGGAGGAGGCGGGATGGGCGTAAGGGCACCGTGAGCACAGGCCCCCTTTGAGGGGTCTCATTCCTGTCAAATGGAATGAACGATTAAGCCTCGCCGTGAGCAGGAACAGGGGCAACGTGGGAGAAATGGAGACCCCAGGGCCAGCTCCCTCATCTTCCCAGAGACGCCAGTCACCCCTCCACCCGCTCCCCGCACATCCCGTTTCCAGGGCACTTACCTGCAGCAACTGTCCCTTTCCCAGGTAAATGGAGCTCTTTCCCGGCATTGTTTCTGTTCCACAGGAGAGGTAGTTAGGTCGAATAACTCTGAAGACTTTTGCAAAGGCATTATCCCAGACTCCGCAATCAAATACAATGATTTAGTCCGTTTATTCACTCAGTATGCACTTACTGGGTGCTGTGCTAGATGGTGTGGGTACATCACTGCAAACAACACCCATATTCCCATGCAGCTCAGTCTCTTGGGGAAAGGCTCTGTCACAGCTTCGTCAATGGCAGCACTTCCTGAGCCCTTGCTCCCTGCCAGGTGCGAGGCTTGCTCTGTCACGTCATTCTCACAACTCTGTGGCTGTCATTGTCGCTATTTTACAGATGAGTGGACGGAGGCACATGGGATTAATTGACTTGTAAATGGCAAAGCTGAAATTCTCTCCTGTATCCTCCACCTCCGGGTCCATCATCTTAGTCATGGCTACTGTGGGCCCACTAACTCACTGTGAGGAATCAGGAGAGCCGCAGGCGGTGACGGAGGCCTGGCCAGGAGCACGGACGTGAGTCCGAGGCTGCAGGAGAGCTGTGACGTGGCTTCGGCACCGGACAGTCACAGCTGGGCGTGCAGACAAAAACAAAAAGAAACAACAGCAACAAAAACCCTATGGCTGTCCTGAACCGTGGTGGTCCCAGAGGGACGGATAGGACCTTAACCACGAAATGTGAGGAAGGAGGAGTCAACAGGACGTGGTGATGGACAAAAAGGATGGAGGAGGGGGAGTGCCAGGGTGCCCTCCAGGCAGTCGGGGCGTCCACACGGAGGCCTGCCCCCGAGATGGTCCACACATAAGTTGGAGGAGCACGTCTGTCAGTGAGTGTTTGGGCGAGAGCTGGGTTCACTGGAGACGACGGCAGGCCAGGTAGAAGCGAGTGTCGTGGGCAGCACTGAGGCTCATTTTGGGCAGCGGCCGGGAGGTCTGGGCTGCCGCAGAAGCCATGAGGGGAGGGGAGATCACTGAGAGTCATGTGGAGGGGGAGCGAAGCCTGGGAGGGGATTGGGGGTGGGGTGAGGCCCGCCCTCACTTCAGGGACCCAGAGGGAAGAGCCTGAGGGGGACCAGCGGTCAGGAGAGGGGAGAATGTGGGTTCCTGGAAGCCGAGGGAAAAGCGATGTTCAAGGACAGGCGTCTGATGCTTCAGAAGCTCAAGCATGAAACAGGCTGGATTCTGCATCCAGACAAAGGCACTGATTCCTGGCCAGAGCACACGGTGGACCACCCGGGGGCGGGAGTGGGCTGAAATGAACATGGGACCCGAAGGGGAAGTTACTGCAAGGGGACCCCTTCTCTCAAAAGCCAGCCTGGCCAGTTAGGAGGCTGAGGTATGGTCCACACAGAAGTCGGAGGGAAGCGCCAGGTGTGAAAATAAAGCTGTTGAACATCCAGTGAGTCCTCACCAAAACGTAGTCCACTCCAGTTGTCAGTGCGAAGAATGATGGAGGTGCCGGGAAGTCAAATCCATACCGTCCACAGGAGTGCCCCCTGCCCTCACCACCCCGCACGCGGTGATGCCACTGCAGCCCCCAGAGCGGGGAGGTGCTGGGAGGGCGCCTGGCGTTGCTGCTGAAGGACAGTCCTCTCTGCCGGGTCTCTAACTGCCTCCTGGCTCCCACTGCTCAGTGTGGCGAGGCCCCTGAGGAAGACTGCAGAGAAGGCAAAGCTGAAGACACCCCCAAACCAATCCCAGGGGAAAGGAGTTGCATAAAAGATTGAAGCGTTCATAGATAAAAATATTCCTCAAGGTTACAGACAAGTATTTGTCCCAAGCTGGGCCACCAAATGCAAATAAATTGTAGATTCTCATTGTTTTACAAAAAAGAAAAGAAAAAAAAAGGAACTGCAGAATGTCAGAGACTCCTCAGAGAAGAAAGAGTATATTTTAACGCAATCAGTATTTTTCCATGGCATTCTCTTTTAATTGAGAACATTTTTAATGCTCCTTTGTCTTGAAAGGTTAGAATCAAAATAAACTTTTTGCTCCCGCAACACAAACCTTTGTTGGCATAGTTATATGGGAAGGAATTCACTGTTCATTATGATTTCAAAAAATAACTGCCCAATTTATAATCCCAAATTGTCTGCTAGCTCCTTAGGTCTGCAACAGGCAGCAAATTCTTAACGAGGGAAAGCAGTTAATGATGATGAAGGTGTTGGTTAATTAACAAAATAGACATATGTCTGGAATTATTGTATATCATTGAATTTTTTAAAACTGTTGTGATTCTTTTTGTGCCTAGAAAGGATCATTTTGTCAGGAAGTGGGTCTGCAAAGAGGGTGAGCTTCCTGCAGGACCTGTCTGCGTTTCACCAAATACGCGTGTCAGAGAAGGAGACACAGCCATCTATGTGTCTCGAATTGGTTCTGACTTTTTCTGAAAAATTCATTTCTATATCACATTGCCCTTCTCATTGAATAGCGCTTCTTAAAGGAAATGTCATTCCCAAGTCAGCAACTGAACTGTGGGCATTGACATGAGGCAGTGCGACACACTGCTTTTCAAAATAAATTGTTGCTTTTCAAAATCAATTCAGGCCCCAATCACCTCCCCCGCTCTGCGCACTCACCCTGATCACCCCGCTGGCACCACACACATACTGTACGAGCGCGCGCGCGGTGCTGTATCATACGCCTCCTGAGCCACCGAGGCGTGTGTCCCCCCGGGCCATGCCCCCGGAGGCCTCCGAAGGACCTGCGGGCGCAGCTGGCGCGTCGGAAAGGCTCTCGGGCCGGTGAGCACTGTCTGGTGGCCTGCAGGGAGGGAGATGCTAACTTGGTTTTGCTGGTGCAGAAAGGCTTGATCTGCAGAAATGACCATTTGATGGGGTAGAGCCTCGCTTTAGTGAGATGGGTAACTTTCTTCCACGATTTCAGCTTAAAACTTCATTCCTCTAACTGAACGTTTGGCTTGACGCAGTTGAGGAATATGCTGGAAATCTGTGATTGGGTGAAGGTAGTCAAGACATTTTTCCACGAATGCTGGCCCATTGTGTGTCTTCACTTCGTTACTAATTACACCAATGTTTACAGCATAATGAGACATTTTGGGATTCCTCCCCCCCCCTCCTTGAACTTAAAATATAGTTTTACTGTATTCAAAATGCACATAAACATGGAGGAGAAATTATCCAACAAGAAGGTCAAGTCTATAAGGAGCCTTCCACGGCGTTCTAACCGGACAAAGATCTCTCATATTAGCAAATGTTCCGTTTCCCTGCAAGTGCAAAGGAAGAATTCAACAGCTGTCTTATCAGTAAATATTGCCCATAAATTCTCCTCTGATCTCAGCTTGTTGGAAAGAGAGGAGGATTCCTACCACACGGGGCCATGCCCTGAAGGAGAAAGAAGCCAACTGGTAGACCAGGGTCTGGGCTCTGGTCCACCTCTGGCTCTGTGGCAAGTCACAGCTTCCTGTGCCTCAGATGCTCGTCTGTAAAACCCGCGTGACCGTCCTTGCTCTGAGAGACAGATGTTGTGAGGACTCACGGGCCTGTGTGAATGAGTTTTGTGAGATGGAAAACAACAAATTCAAGGCACTGTTATTTCCTATAATGTTATTTCTCTTAGACTCTTACATCTGGGACTAACTTTTTCCACAAACCTACTCCAAAGATCTCAGACCTATGAGAAACATGGGTTGGGGGAGGGGGACAATATTGCAAATGATTTCCCTCTTAGAAACACCAGTAAACTCAGAGCTCCCCAAACTTAGTGAACAAGGGCATCTTTTTCTTTCTTGTTTTCATACCCCCTCCACTGTCATCCCAAAACCACCCACATCAGAGAGCTGTTAGGAAAGCCTGTCATGTGATAAAATAGCTCAGTGTTTATAAAGGGTAATGCACCTCTCTTCCCAAGGTATGCGTAGTGCATCCCCAGCTGTTGCACATTTCTGGGGGGCGGAGGGGGGGCTGCAGGTGCTGACCCTGGCCCCTGCACCCTGCCGCACTGACGCTGGTTGTCTGGCTCGCAGAGGGCATGAGCGGATCCTGGAAGGAGGGCGGTGCCCCGTCCAGCAGCTGCAGCAGCGGCTACTGGAGCTGGAGCGCCCCCAGCGACCAGTCCAACCCGTCCACACCATCGCCGCCGCTGTCCGCCGACTGCGCCAAGCCCTTCCGCAGCCCTGCGCCCGACGACGGCATCGACGAGGCCGAGGCCAGCAATCTGCTCTTCGACGAGCCCATCCCCAGGAAGAGAAAGGTCAGCCTCTCCTCCCGCTCCTTTTTTGAGGGCCCAGGATACACCCAGGGCCTGATCAGGGCAGAGCCACCCAGTGTGGGCACCCACCCTCTGCCGCCTGGTGCCACGTGGACAGAGGTGCCCAGCGTTGACCAGGGTCTGAAAGCTACAAAAGTGCATGTCAGGCGTGGGTTGGTGCCTCACTCACTCTCTTCCTGGGACTACATTTTTTCACTTGTAAAATAAAAACAAACTCCCTTTTCTATTTTCTGCTTCAAAAACATATTGGGAGAATTTTTGTGTCTTATTTTCATAAAACCGGCTGTGAAACATGCAGGAAAGCTGCCCCAGCCAGGCCAGGTTGGCTGAGCTCCTCCCATGCACTGAGGGGTTGCTGGTTCCGTTCCCAGTCGGGGCACATGCCTGGGGTAGGGGCTTGATCCCCGATAGGGGAGCATTCGGAAGCCAACCCATAGCTGTTTCTCTCTCACATCAATGTTTCTCTCTCTAAGCATATCCTCGGGTGAGGATTAAAAAAAAAAGAAGAAAGCTGACACATAAACGCATGTATGTACTTACAGACCAAAAACTGGTTTACTAAACTAAACCTGAAAAAGAGCTCTAATAAATTGATTTAATGCATTGATTACACATTTATTTAATCTTCACAGCTGTCCTGTCTGGTAAGTACCTTATTTTTTTTTTTTATTCTCACCAGAGAATATTTTTTCCATTGATTTCTAGAGAGAGTGGAATGGAAGGAGAGAGAAAGAGAGAAACATTGATATGAGAAAGACGCATCAGTTGGTTGCCTCCCGCATGTGCCCCTGCCACGGCTGTGGAACCTGCAACCAAGGTACGTGCCCTTGACTGGGAATTGAACCCAAGACCCTTCGGTGCGAGGGCCGACACGTTAACCACTGAGCAACCAGCCAGGGCCGGTAGGTATCATTCTCCCAACTTGGTATGAGGCAGTTGAGGATCAGGGAGATTAAACGTTGAGCTTGCCCTGTCCTGAGGATTGAAGGGCCAGGCCCGCCACTCAAACCCAGGTCTGCCCAAACCTAAAGCTCATATTCTTTCCATCCTCTTTGTGTGTATTTACACTATCATGACCACTCACAATTTTCCAAAAGGATTTCACTTTGTAGGATGAAGCTGTCTGCTGCTACATCTCGAATACCTTTTCACATTATTTTTTAAAAATAGATTTTATTGATTTTTTACAGAGAGGAAGGGAGAGGGATAGAGAGTTAGAAACATCGATGAGAGAGAAACATCAATCGCCCGCCTCCTGCACACCCTACTGGGGATGTGCTCGCAACCAAGGTACTTGCCCTTGACCGGAATCGAACCTGGGATTCTTCAGTCCGCAGGCCAACGCTCTATCCACTGAGCCACACGGGTCAGGGCTCACGTTATTTTTTGATGGCCATGTCCATGTGAGGCTGCTACTTTATATATTGGTCCTGTAAGCAGTTCTCAGTAGCTTCATTAGGTTTAGGAATCACTATTCACAAACAAAAACCCAAAGCAAAACCCTGAGGACTGCCATGCAACCTCTTCCCCCCAATTTATTTCCAAGAGGAAAACACGCAGCCGGCATCGACCCCAGCATCGATCCCTCCGTCTCCGCTCCGTCCCCTGTGTGTGCCGATGTGGAGGCTGCGGGCTCCCTACCCAGAGAGCTGGGGAGAAAGGAGGGCCTGCCTCCGGAGGCGGGGCGTGAAGATGCTGCTCCCACCAGCCACCGGGCAGGGGCTGGGCTAGCGCGGCGACCGTGTTCGCCTGACCGGTCAGCGAGCTACCAGGCGGCGATGGGGACTGAAGGGCCATCCTGGTGGTCAGGCTTTCTCTGGGGTCATCTGAGTGCGTGGCCCCGGCTGTCTTCAGAGGTGGCCGGCGTGGGGGCCGGGACTCCGCGCAGGGATCGGTGCTCAGTGCCCTGCTGACAGCAGCTTAATGGGCTGAGGATAAACAGCACTTCGTTCTTGAGCTGAGAGAATCCGGTGCGTCGTACGCGATCAGGGCATCGTTTCTCGGCGCTTCTGTCTCGCTTGTTCGCTCGTGTATGTGCTGTGCATAGGGAGCTACTGTGGCTCATGGGCAAAATGCTTGGGGAGAGAACACGATCCGTGGGACAGGGAGGGGCCCTCATCAGAAGTCGCAGGAGCCCCGTGCTCAGCTCAACTTTGCTACCCTGCAAACTTCAGAAAATCATTTCCCTTCTCTGACCATCGGCTTCTTCATCTGCAACACAAACTAACAGCAGTTACCAACCCTCGGCCGGGACATCATGAAGATTCAGTGACCAAGCATAGAAAGGTCACTGTGCCCCTGAAGCTTCGCCCCCGTGGCAGACACATGGTAATGGACACGTCAGGGCCCCTCACAAAGGGGCGGCGCCGCCTGGATCTGACGATGAAGCTGAGCCGGGCCCTTCCTTCCACCTCCCTCGCAGGTGTCTTGGCCGGCGCCACTCTACCTGTGCACTTGGCAGATCCTCGAGTCAGAGGGGAGGGCGCCAAGTTAACTGCCGGCTGCGCAGGAGTAATCAGTGAACGGACCACGTCTGCCTTCCACACCCGGAAAGGGTGACTCGCTCTAAAGTGGGCAAGTCGGTGAGGCCCGCGCAGGAGCGAGCACCCGTCGGCTGACTGCGTTCCTCACGCCCGCTGAGCACAGCGCGTGGGCAGGAAACCCGCTGCCCCAGGAGCGGGCCCATCGGGCAGGACCAGGAGGCTGCCAGGAAAGCAGCTCCGTGATGACCGCCCTCCAGCCAGAGCCGGGAGGACAAAGGAGGGAGGTCACTGAGCCTCTGCCGCACAGTGAGGGGGCCTTTCACCCGAGGCGCTGAGGACGGTGCCGTGAGCTCACCTGTGCTCCTTCCTCCGAGGCCCTGGTCCTCCTGTCTGAGCCTCCATCCCCAGCACACATGTTCACACATGCACACACACATGCACACACACACGCACCCTCATCGCCGTGTGCACACACCTCAGGGTCCTATCAGGCGCCCCGGGACGGGTAACCCCAGCAGCTCCGGGCGGACTGGCCCTGGGATGAGTGTGGACCGTTAGGATGCAGCTGGGCCCACCTGCTGGGAACTGAGGGGACCTTGGCCTTTGTCAGTCCTGTGTGTCAGCCTGGTCTGTCGGGAAAGCGGACGCCACTCCAGGCATCCCGTGTGGGCGACAGTTCACAGCAGGCGGAGGCCTCAGGGGAGAGAGCGAGGCAGCCCGGCCGCCTAGCCCCCCGGGCAGTGTCAGGAGAACAACGGTGCAGCTGCCAGGAGAAGCCAGGTTCGAGCGCAGATGGTCACAGTCCGATCGGCAGCTGCGCTTGTGCCTGCAGCTGGGCTTGGTTTGGCTGCCCTGGCAGAGCTGGGGCCCGTGGGGCGGGCTGGGCCGTGTTGAACAAACATTGTCTCCGGTCTCCTCATGCAGGGCTCGCTTTCCTGCCGCGTAAGAGTGGCTCTCTGGCCCTGGCCGGTTTGACTCAGTGGACAGTGTGTCAGCCTGCGGACTGAAGGGTCCTGAGTTCAATTCCGGTCAAGGGCACATGCCCGGGTTGTGGGCTCGATCCCCGGTGGGGGGGGGGGTGTGCAGGAGGCATCTATCTCTCTCTCCCTCTCTGAAATCAATTAAAAATATTTTTTAAAATTTTTTTTTAAAGAGTGGCTCTGTGTGCACGGGAGGATTGTTTCGCGGGTGTAGTCGGGACATTGGCAAGCACCCACCAGCATGCAAGGGGCCTCCTGGTTGACGCGGGCCACCTCCGCCTATGAACAGAGACTGCTGCTTCCATTAAAGTTGAGCTCATCCGCTAATGTGCTCTTATTCTCCAGATTAGTCCTGCAAGTATTATAGGGGGACCTCCACCTATAAAGAAATACCTTTTTAACATTAAAAACAGGGTGATTTTTATATTTGGAAACTAATGTCTGAATACGCTGCCCCTCCCCCGCGCTTCACCACGCAGGAATGCATGTGTGTTTGCATCACATACCTCCCCCAGAAAGATCGTGCCGTTCACATTCTTTCATAACCTGCTTTCCCTGCATCCTCCAGGTCCAGGCAGGAAGCGGGTGATGTACCCAGCGGGTAGTTAAAGAGCTGGACGGCCCTGGCCAGGTGCTCAGTTGGTGGGAGTGTTGTCCCCACACACCAACGTGGTGGATTCGATTGCTGGTCTGGGGCACATACAAGAATCAAGCAGTTAATGTGTGGACGGGTGGAACAGGAACTCTCTCTCCCTCTCTCTCTCCTTTCCTGTCTCTCAAATCAATAAATTTGTTTAAAAATTTAGAAAGAGTTTAAAGAGACTCTTTGCAAAGGTGTAGGATTGGGGTGGGGTGGGGTGGGGTGGTACCCCAGGATCCCAAGAGCTAACTATAGGGCAAGGCCCTCACCACCCCTAAGTCTGAAGGGACAAGTAAAGAAAGGAGTTTCCAGAATCCATAAAGTTACCACAACTCTGGAAACACCCACGGTTTTCGGAGGAGGAAGGCAGCCGCCCAGCTTGGCCAGGCGGGAAGGGACCGGGGAGTCCAGAGCCTCCTGTCTCCCGGGGCCAGACCCAGCCTGAGACCACGGGCAGGGCCACTGACACACGAGGTCAACCTCGGGCGCAGCAGGTGGAGGTAGATTTGCACAGCACAGCTTCCTCGTGTGAAACTGAGGCAGAGAGCCTCCGCACGTGCGTCCATCTGTCCACTCGTGAGGTCGTGATGAGCTTCGGGTAAAGAGGAAGGAAGAAGCGTGTTGGGCCGGCAGCATTGGTAGGTTCGTTTTCACTTCACTCTCCGTCCTCTCCTCTCCAGAACTCCATGAAGGTGATGTTCAAGTGCCTCTGGAAGAACTGCGGAAAGGTGCTGAGCACCGCGGCCGGGATCCAGAAGCACATCCGCGGCGTCCACCTTGGGTGAGGCACCTCCCTCCCGCTGGGCGCGGGCTCCGTGCTGCGGGCGGCCCGGCCTCGGGCCCCAGCCAGCACCTGTGCCTCACAAGTGCTCAGGCGGAGTCAGGAAGGGCCTGGGCACGGAGGGGGGGGAGGGGGGGCTGATAACAGAGGCCTTGACCGCAAGTCCTACTGCACTGAGGGGTGTCAGGGACTGCTCTGCGCCCCGGTTTCCTCTGAAGATGAGGTTAACAATACAGTCAGCCCTGCAGGGGTCACATGTGAAGGTCAAAAGTAAAACGTGGGGCGAGCCATTTGTAAAAGTACAGCAGCAGGGCAGATGTAGATGTGCTTTTCCCCCCCTGATGGAGAGTATTCGTGACTTAGAGCCTGAAAAGGGTTACGGCACCACTGTGCCCATCAGAGCTGCTGTTGCGATGGCCGTGACCTTTGGCGCCCTGCCTCTGTCGCTTTCCTTGTGTTTTATGAGAACCTTTCTCAGGAAAGAAGCCAAAGCTTGGAGCCCGTTGGTGAGGCCCTTCCGGGGCAGCGGTGGTTCCCAGTCTTGGCCAGTGGGCTCTGGGTCCCTCTTGTCCAGGGATCTGGGATTGAAAGGGGCCCTTGAGAAGCTGCAGTCCTGACTGGGGTGCAGACGGCAAACCCAGACACATGCCGAGCCCCAGATGCTTGGGCACAGAGCAGTCCTCCCCCCAGGATGAGAAATGGACACTGCAGTCTCTCTGCCCGCAAGGAATCAATGTAGGACATGCAGCATCCATCGCAGTGGAATAGAAAGGAAATAACCAGGTTCTGGCATGATTCTGCTCACCTGCGTGGGTGGGGCAGAGAAGGGACCTCCTCCCCATTCATGGGGCTGATGTCTGCGGACGTAGCCCGTCCCTCCCAGAGCACAGCATGCAGGTCACCCAGTGGGTGTGGCCCAGGGTCGCCCTGCACCCTCTGGGCAGCCACCTGAGGACTCCAAGGGGGAAGTCAGGCGTGTCTCCCTGACCTCATGTCAGGACGACCTTGACGGAAATAGCTCCACTTCTTTAAAGGTCCAGCGAGAACCTCCCGAAGCCACGCTCAGGATGTAGGGGGTCTGTTGTCAAGCCCATCTGCCCAGGGAATCGAACCCTGTCCAGCACCACGCAGAGCCGTGCCCGTCCGCGCCCAACAGAGTCTGCAGAGTAGGTGGCGCCAGCCGTGCCCTTTGAGCTCCGGATGCTGTCACAGTGGCAAAGTTCATTGCTCCCCGGGCTCCCTTTGTGCTCTGCTCTACAGAGGCCCTGGGACTGGGGTTCGCAGCCTGCCAGCACCCCCAGGACCGCGGGGTTCACAGGAGCTCTTGCTCTCTGGGACTGGGGAGAGGACCGCCTTCGCCTTAGACCATGAGCGTGACGATAGGACAGGGGGACATTTCATCTTGGTTGTGGACACCAAAGCCCTAGAGAATGTTGTAAGGAGGCAGTAGAGGTTAAAACTTACAGAAACGTGCGAAGTAATTTAAGAACGTGAATTAAATAAAGAACACCGCCAGGGGGCACACTGAGGAGTGAAGTCCTTATCCTGACCTTCAGCATACATCCCAGACTGGGTTCTCGTCACTCCCCTCCCCTCCCACTGTCGGGGCTCATCCATGTTGAGCGATCCCTTTCATCTCGGGCCGGGGGAGGGGGGGGGGAGTTAACCAAAGACCTTATATACATATACGCATATCCATAGACACAGACAATAGTGTGTTGAAGGCCTGGGGGGTGGGGTCAATGGGGGAAAAAGGGGGGACATCTGTAACACTTTCAACAATAAGATAAATTAAAAAATAAATAAAATGACAATTTCAAAACGTAAAAAAACGAAGAAACAAAACTACTGAGACTCCTCAAAGCCTCCGTGGCTTCTGTCACATTCAGAGCGTTCCTGTGGCTGCAGAGCCCTCTGACCCTGCCTCTCCACCCTCTCCGCAGCCCCTCCCCCCAGCCCCTGGCCTCCACCCTCCCCTCCGATGTCTCTGCAGCCCCTAGGCCCAGCCCCTGGCCTCTGCCCTTGGTGGAAGACACCAAGCACCCCCCACCCCACCCGGCCTGCCTGCTCCTCACTGTATTCTTCCCATGGCCAGGCTTCAGCTCCCCTCACCTCATCCAAGTCTGTTTACATCACCTCCTCTGAGCTCAGTTTAAAATACAACCCCATTGCTTACGGGCACTCGTATGCCACTTAGTTTTTTTCTGGCGTTCATTAGTCCCCGATGCATTAGATACCTATTTACTTATGGCTCCCTTGTCTGCCTCTCCGACTAGATGTAATTTCCATCAGGGCAGAATCCATCTACGACTTGGTCAGGCCCTAGAAGAGTGCCTACACAGAGTAGATTCTCAATAAATTGTTGAATAAGTAACTGCTTGGTTGATTGTTTGGATAAATTCCTCTAGAGGTCAAGGAGGTCTTCCCTGGGAGTGGACGTAGAGTTTTCCAGGCAGACACGGGAAAGGAAAAGCATTCCAGACAGAGGGCACAGCCGTGCGAGATGGCGTGGTCTGACTGTTTTGCTGTCCTTTGCATTAGGCGTGCTGGGGACTCTGATTACAGCGATGGTGAGGAGGACTTCTACTACACGGAGATCAAGCTCAACACGGACGCGGTGGCAGACGGACTGGGCAGCCTGGCCCCGGCTTCGCCCTCCCAGTCCCTGGCTTCACCTCCCACCTTCCCCATCCCGGATTCAAGCAGAACAGAAAGCCCTGGTGCCAAAACCGAGACTAAACTGATGACGCCCTTGAGCCGCTCGGCCCCTACCACCCTCTACCTCGTGCACACCGACCACGCTTACCAGGTGCCGTGCACGACCCCGAGTGACACTTTGCCCCTGACCAAAAGCAGCTGCATTCTGCCCTAGGAACAGAAAAACAGCATCCCACACCGTAGCCCCGTAGCAGAGTTCATTGTCATCATAAAGTTCAGTCAACTTGTTTCCATTGTTCTCTTATTGCTGGGTACCTGATCTACCCAGTTTTTTCATTAATAACTCTACTATGAACATCTCTGTGCCCGTAGCTTTTTTTTCTTTGAAGTCACAGAAGAGTAATTAGTGAGTCAGAGGATGCCACCTGAGCAGGATGCTGCTGCTAAGCATTGCCAAACACTTCCGTGGTGCAAAAGCCACCACCATCACAACTGCACTGAGCCTTCAAAAAGCTAAACCTGTGGAGGAAGAGTTTGCCACTTATTTAGCAGACTGAAGCTCAAGAGCAAAGGAATAGAGCGAATTATTAGATTTGATGGTGCAATAAATTTTATTCCTGACTCGTTATGTGGGTCAAAAAGAATAATTCATTCCTTTGTTCATGTTTGCATTTAGGTCCAAAATCATGAGCTTGAACCAACTTATTGAAATTCTTTTGTTTATCTATAAAGTGGGTTGGAACACACACTTGATGATCTTCCTGAACCCTGTATTCATAATATTTGGGATTTCTCTGTCTGTAGATATTATAAATGTTCAGCATAGAAAATACTAAAAACTGAAGCAGAGAGAGAATGTATCAATCCCAACGACAAGAAAGCCTCTTGGTTAATATTTTTGGTATGTCTTTCAAGACTTTCTCCTATGTGTATATGTATAAAAAACTAAGGAATCTATTGTAGTACTGTTTTTACTATGCTTTGTGGGGTTTTTTCCACTGAATATATCACGAATGTGGTGGTTTTTTGTTTTCGTTTTTTTTAATCCTCACCCAAGGATATTTTTTCCATTGATTTTTAGAAAGAGTAGAAGCCGGGGAAGGGGAAGGGAGAGGAGAGGGGGAGAGAGAGAAAGAGAGAAACATCAATGTAAGAGAGATACATTGATTGGTTGCCTCCCACATGCACCCAGACCAGGGCCCAGGAGCGAACCTGTAACCCAGGTGTGTGGCCTTCACCTGGAGTCGAACTCGAGACCCTTCCATGCACAGACAGATGCTATAACCGCTTAGTCACATGGGCCAGGGCTCATGAACATTTTTGCATGTCATTGAGTATTCTTCAACAACATCATTTGTAATGGCTCAGTTGGTATATCATGATTTATTTACCCATTTCCCTATTACTAGACATTTGTGTTTCCAATTTTTAAAAATATATAATACAATGAACATCCCTGTATCCATTTCCTTAGAATGAATTCTAGAAGTGGAATAGCTAATATACAGAATTCTAAAAATTTTTATATATATATTGCCAAATTACCCTCCCAAATGTTGTACCAATTACGCCCCACCATCTCTGTATAAAAGTGTTTATTTCCAAATTTGATAGTGAGAAATGACTAGTATATCTCACAGTGGTCCTAAAATTCAGAAATCAATAGTCAAAAACTATCTCCTTTGATACATTAGATAGATTGCTTAGATATATAAAGAATTTCTTTCCAGCTACTCTCTTTGACCATGTTTCATCTCTTCCTATCAGATAACTAGTCTAAGTTATTAATACAGCTGAGGTAGTTTCTGAGGCCCCACCTTGGTAAATGACAGCTAAGATTGAGGAAAAACCTTTCTTAACAGTTTTCTCTGTACTGTGCCACGCCCCCCTGACCATTTCTGTTTGCTCTGTAACAGGCCACGCCCCCCGTGACCATCCCAGGATCGGCCAAGTTCACCCCCAATGGCAGCAGCTTCAGTGTCTCCTGGCAGTCTCCTCCAGTTACCTTCACAGGCATTCCAGTGAGTACAAATACAAAAAGCCAAATGTAAAGTTAGAGAACAAGCTGAAGACACATAAAGTTAGAGAACACATTTAGACACATGCAACAGAAAAACAAAGCCCAGAAGGCTGGAAGCACCTGTTTCTTGCGTGGAATTTGTAAACTCCTGAGCAAGGCTTCTCATGGCTCCGACAGGCCCGGCTACTCTGTCAGATAAAAGCGTTTCAGCTGTTGATAAATATGTCAGATGTAGATCAGAGTTTTTTGTTGGTGGTATATTTGCATGTTTCCAAAAGGCTTTATAAAATCATCTCTGAGCTCAGATCCTGAACATTAAAAAAACACCTGTACATAAATGGCATTTATCATTATGAGTACATTCATAATATTTATGACTTTGAAATTATTGTTTGCCGGTATGTCATCTTGATGGTTCAAAAAAATAAAAAATTAAAGTCACTTTTTGCCCCCAAAGCCTGAATAATCCATCCATATGGATGTGTAATCCTAATATATAAAAACCCTAGGTCTGTCACGACCAGAGGCTTGACCAACCGGAAGTCAGTTCTGCAGTCAGCACTGGGTTGCCGTGGCTACAGGCATGGTGCCCCAGCACTGACAGCTGAAGGGTTGCGAATCAGGCCCGGAGAGAGGCCTGAAGAGAGAAGAAGGGTCTGATCCGTAGCCTCTGTGGCAGCTGTTGATAAGCACTTGCCTCTCTCTTTCTCTCCAGCAGCCGTGCCTCCATTTCTCTCCAGGCCTCCACCGGGGCTGCTGATCAGCCCCACCTTTCTGATCAGGCCCCATTGATAGGCCCAGAGATGCTGACTGGCATAGAAACCGACCAATCAGAACCAAATCTAGGTGAAGTGTGAGGAGTCAATGGCTGCCTAGGAGGTGGAGCTTTTGACGCTGACTGGCATAGAAGCCAACCAATCAGAACCAAATCTGGGTCAACTGTGAGGAGCCAATGGCTGCCTAGGAGGCAGAGCTTTTGACGCTGACTGGCATAGAAACTGACCAATCAGAACCAAATCTGGGTCAACTGTGAGGAGCCAATGGCTGCCTAGGAGGCAGAGCTTTTGATGCTGACTGGCATAGAAACCGACCAATCAGAACCAAATTGGTCAGCAGAGGAGGGCAGTTGGGGGCAAGATCAGGCCTGCAGGGGAGGGTAGTTGGGGGCGAGATCAGGCCGGCAGGGGAGGACAGGTGGGGGCAATCAGGCCAGTAGGGGAGAGCAGTTGGGGGCGAGATCAGACCAGCAGGAGAGGGCTGTTAAGGGCAAGATCAGGCCGGCAGGGGAGGGCAGTCGGGGGGGACCAGGCTCGCAGGGGAGGGTAGTTGGGGGTGACCAGGCCAGCAGGGGAGGGCAATTGGGGGCCATCAGGCCAGCAGAGGAGGGCAGTTGTGGGTGAGATCAGGCCGGCAGGGGAGGGCAGTTGGGGGGGACCAGGCTTGCAGGGGAGGGCAGTTAGGGGTGATCAGGCTGGTAGGGGAGCAGTTAGGTGTTAATCAGGCTGGCAGGGGAGTGGTTAGGGGGTGACCAGGCTGGCAGGCAGAAGCGGTTAGGGGCAATCAGGCAGGCACGCAGGCGAGCAGTTAGGTGCCAGCAGTCTCGGATTGTGAGAGGGATGTCCGACTGCCGGTTTAAACTGGCAGTCAGACATCTTCCGAGGGGTCCCAGATTGGAGAGGGTGCAGGCTGGGCGAGGGACACCTCCTCCCCAGTGCACAAATTTCGTGCACCGGGCCTCTAGTTTGAAAATAAATGAGTGCTAAAGTATGCCATTAGGTTTAAGCAGTATATAAGAATTGATTTGACATATTAAATGATTACTGTCTGATAAATTGCCATGAATTAACCTGATTTCTAACCATTCATTTAAAAGTATATTGGGCCCTAGCTGGTTTGGCTCAGTGGATAGAGCGTCGGCCTGCAGACTGAAGGGTCCCAGGTTCGATTCCAGTCAAGGGCACATACCCAGGTTGCAGGCTCGATCCCCAGTAGGAGGCAGCTGATCAGTGATTCTGTCTCATCATTAATGTTTCAGTCTCTCCCTCTCCCTTCCTCTCTAAAATCAATAAAAATATATTTTTTAAAAATAATAATAGATAAATAAATAAATAAAATATATATTGGGTCTTTATAGGTTATAAAGAGCATTCATAGACCCCCATACCATTGGTGCGCACAGTGGTTTCTACCTCCTGGTAAGATCCAGAGAGTAGCTTGTGATAATGGATATTCATGTTATTTTCTCCTTTCCACCTCTCTCCCCAAGGACCTCCCAAATGATTCTTATTACCAACCCTGGAAACTCCCAGAGGTTTCCAGCAAATACTAAGACCTCCTGCAGAGTGCATACTAATGAAAGTGGCTCAGTCAATGCTGCTGCTCTGGCCAATGACTATGTATTAAATCCCTGGAGGACTAGCCAAGGATAAAAGGCAAACTGCTGGCAACAGTTTGGGAATTTGTGGCTTCCAGAAAATGCCCCCAGATTCCACGTTTAAACAATAGTGTGGATCTGGTGTAGTCATGAAAGCTGCCTGCTTCATGGAGGAGTGACCACTGCTGGTCGCTCTGAGAGGCCGAGATGGCCACCAGGGACGAGCAAGCAGGTGGGAGAAAACGACTTGCACATCAGGTATTAGAGTCCTTTCTGGCAAGAACCGTGATCTGCTAAGGTGGGTGTCGCGGTTAGCAATCAGTCCTGCTGGTGACTTTTTGTTAGACATTAAAAAGGTCCAGAGTATCTCTATGTCACACCCGCGACAACCCTTCTAACCTGGAAAGGCCGCTACAGTGACGGAATTCCCAAGACCTGCTATGCTCATCTGTCCATCTTGTCTTTGACTTGAGGAGGATTTTCAAGGGCAGACACCCTCTTGTTCAGCTTGTGTAAAACCATGCATAGCATGTAGATGGAACTGCTCAGTCCAGACTGCTTTCAAATGGAATTTCCCCCTACATCTTATTTATTTACTAGAGGCCTGGTGCACGAAATTCGTGCACTTGGAGGGAGTGGGCCTAAGCTGTCAGTCGGACATCCTTAGCGCTGCTGCAGAGGCAGGATAGGCTTCCGCCACTGCTGCTATGCTCTCCAGCCATGAGCCCAGCTTCTGTGGGAGTGCACTGACCACCAAGGGGCAGCTTCTGCGCGTCTTCACCCTGGTGGTCAGTGCGTGTCATAGCGACCGGTCATTTTGCCGTTCAGTCAATTTGCATATTAGCCTTTTATTATATAGGATTTTATTGTTAGAGTATTGCAGATTCCCCCCCGCCCCTGCTTTGCCCCTCCAATTAAAGCACTTCCTTCTGAAATACAGAGATAATTCTGAGGGATATGCTCTCCCAAATTCCTCCACATCTTACACGGTGGTGGGGAGAGGACCTTCATGAATGAACACAAGTGGGGAGAGGACCTTCATTGATAGACATGGGTGGGGAGAGAACCTTCATGAATGGACATGGGTGGGGAGAGGATCTTCATGAATGGACACAGGTGGGGAGAAGGCCTTCATTGATAAACACATGGGGTGGGGAGAGGACCTTCATTGATAGACACAGGGGTGGGCGAGAACCTTCATGAATGGACACAGGTGGGGAGAGGATCTTGAT